AGGGATTGTGGTAGACCCTAGGAAACTAGAGGTGAGCCCCCTTCCTTCCTTCAAAGAGGGTAAGGATGAGTAAGATCATAACTGATGTTGTGAAGAAAGGTTCTAGACTAAAGTAACTCCTTGTAAATGGTGAGTTGGATGAGAGGGGAACTTTCCTAATCATTTCTGGGTTAACGAAGAAACTAAAACCATAATACTAGACCACTTAGAAACTTAAGGCAATGATAGCACTAAACAAAGACACAGGATGCAGCCAAAGCTGTACTTGAAAGGAAACTTTTTAGCTTTAAAGTCTTTAAAGTTTTAGTGAAGAAAAATGGGAAGAAGTTAACTGAGCAGTCAATTCAAGAAGCTTTAAAAAGAATAATAAATAACAGTACAGACATCTGTTGAATACTCGTGATGGGCTAGGCACAGTTCTGAGTGTGGATGGATTAGCTCATTTAATTCTGGCAACACCTCTGTGATATGGGTATTATTATTATCACCATCATTTTTCAGAGAGGAAACTGAAGCCCAGCGAGATAAGATAATGTGCCCAAGTATTATAGTTTGCAGGTGATGAATGTAGCATCCAAACCTGGCCATCTAACTCCAGAATTCATACTCCCCATCAACAAGTAATACAAATACAAATAGAAGTGAAATAAGTGGGACAAATAAAAGTAAAATCAACAATTAATAAGTAGGAAGAAGCCCAGTAGAATTGAGAAATGTGTCCGTGACTTGTTTTCCTTAAGATGAAAAGGAATATGTGTATATATATGTGTGACTGAAACATTATGCTGTGCACCAGAAATTGACACATTGTAAACTGACTACACTTCAATTAAAAAAGGATTCAAAAAAAAAAAAAGAAAGAAAGAACAATAAAATGGACAACAAGGAAGATAAACTTCTGAAAAAAATAAAAAGAGAGACTAGCAATACAATGTAAAGAAAGCAGGAGAAAGGGCAGAGCACCATTCCAGATAAGATGTTACAGTTGAAACACATGGAGAACACTGTGGATAATTCCAAGGGAAAATATAAATTTCCAAAGTTAGTTTGAGAAGAGTGTGAGGGAGAGGTGAAGCTGGTGCAAGCTCAAAATGGGACAGGACTGTCTCCTGTCATCTCTTTTATTCTACACTGTTCTGAAAACTCTAGACGTGGAAATACGGTAAGGGGAAAAATAGATGCTTACCCATCAGGGAGGAGAAAAGAAAATATTGTTATTATTGGGGATAATATGATTCTCTGCTCGGAAAACTCAAAGGAAGTAAATGAAAACCCACAAAAACTATCATGATTTTTAAAAAATGCTTACAAGGTAAATACACTGAAAGTTTATCGCTTTCTTTTTTGTAAATGACAACCAGTTGCAAAACGAAATGGAAAAGTTGTCAAAATCACAATCGCATAGAAAAAGAATCTTTCAGATAATACTAAGCGAGAATGTGTAGAACTACAGAGAAAATTAAAGAGACATAAAATCAGCTTTTAACAAGAGGACAGCCTATGCCTGATAGAAAGACACATTGTTATAAAAGCATCAATTATCCTGAATTAAATTTCTGAATTTCAGACAATTTTGGTCAAAGTCCCAATTAATTTTTTCTGGGAGTAGGGGTGGGGAATTCACGAAATACAGTTCCAATAAAAATTCCATTGGTATTTTTAAACGCTTGACAAACTGATTCTGAAGTTCACTTGGATCACAGTGATTGCCAAGAAAATGTTGAAAATAAGGATAATGAGGGAGGACTTGCCCTGCCAAGATATAGCATATTGTAAAGCTACTATAATTAAATCCCATATTGCTGTATTATAAGACGGATCAGTGGAATAGAACAGAAGGCCCAAAGACAGACCCCAGTCTATATAATTATTTAGCATATAATAAAGTTGGCATTTGAGATCAGTGGGGAGGAGATGAATTATTCAATAAAAGATGCTGACAGAATTGATTACCTATTTGGGAGGAAATGGCAAATTAGATTCCCATGTCATTTCAGATACCAAGAAATTACAGATGGATGAAGGAGTTTAAGGTTCAAATGATGCCATGTAAAAGTAAAAAAAAGAATAATATTTATAGGGAATTGGGGCATATGGGAAGGCCTTTTGAAGGGTAATGGGATTAAGTTTCTTTGTTCATTTTTTTCTCTGAGTGATCTGCAAGTTATACATATTTCTATTCTCATTTTTATTCTTAATTATTAACATGCATACTTAGAATGTCCTAAATGTTGTTCCTTAATATCTATAAACTTTTGAGGAAGAAGACAAGACTCTTAGCATATTGCAATTTTATACTCTTTCTCCCACCTCCATCTCTTATGACTTAAGTTCCCCACCCACCTCGCCCCACTTTTCTTTTCGTTCTTTCTTTCACTACTGTTTATTATGCCTCTTTGATCCATTTTGTTGTTATTTTTCAGGGCGCATATGCTCTATTCTTTTGTGGGAAGTACATTTTCTAAGTCCCTGAATTCTGGAAATGTCTTTATCTTGTACGTTCGCTTGAATGCTAGTTTGGCTGTACATAGGGTTTTTGATTCAAGTGACTTTTCCTAAACCTTCGAGGACGCTGCTCCATTGTGTTCTAGAATTCAGAGTTGCAGATGAGAAATCTGATGTTAAAATTATTTTTGTCCCTTTGTCAGCAATCTTCCCCGCCCCTTCGTCCCGCCCCTGCCGGACACATTACAGTGATCTCAGAATCTTGATGTTCGCACCATCTGTCTTTTTTTCCATTCGTATCTATTGACATTTGATAGTGTCTTTCAATTTAATGACTCAAATTCTTCTTAATCTTGAGAGAATTTTATTCTGTTCTCTCTAATTACACCTTCTTTACCATTCCTTCTGTTCTCTCCTGAGCATCCTTTTAGATGGATATTAGAATTTTTGGATCAGTACTATGTGTTTTGTATCGTTTCTCTTATCCTTTCTAGCTTTTTTGGTAGAATTCTGGGAAAATCACTCCATTTAGACTCCCAGTTGCTGAGTTCTTCAGCTGTGTGCATTCTGTCATCAGCTCAACCACTGAGTTTCCAGTTTTGGCAATTGTATTTTTTATTTCCTGAACTTTGTTTTTCTTTACCTCTTCTGTTTCAAAATGAAAGTAAGCTTATTTTTTTCCTGATTATATAATTAAGATATCCTCTCTGTGAACATTTCCAACCATACAGATGTAAGGTTGTGAGTAAAAATAATCCACAGTCTTACTGCCCAAAGAGAACCATCCTTGGCATTTTTTGGCCAGTTTGCTCCGCATTCACAGACAGACAGCCACGGAGGGATCCCACACACCCAATACACATATTGTTTGACACAAATGTCTTTATACAAAGATAATATTACTTATAAATGCAGTAAATATTGAAACTGAAAAGGAAGAAAGCAAAGGAGAAAGAAATTGGCCCCTTTGGAATGCTTCCTGGTTCCTAGCCATGAGGGTTTAAAATTTTTTTATTGCGGAAAATATCAAATAGACATAAAAGTCGACAAATTAGTACAATGAATCCTCCTGTGTTCATCACCTAGTTTCAGTAATGATCAGTCAAAACTAATTTTTTTCCCATCTATACCCTTCCCCTTTCTATCTCCTTCCTGTCATACTGAATTATTTTGAATTAAATCATTGTATCCATAACAATTACAGGATGCGTCCTTAGAGATAAGGATTCTTTAATGAATATAATCATAATACCATTATTACATCAAAATTCTTATTCCCTTATACCTATAGCAATAATTTCTTCATATCATTAAAAATTGAGTATATCCATTTTTCTGATTGTCTCACAACTTTTAAAAACTATTAGTTTATTTAAATTAGGATCCAAATAAGATCCACATATTGCATTTAGTTGGTTTGTTTCTTAGATATCTTTGAATATGTAAGTTTCTCCTCTGCCCTGCTCTTTTCCTCTTGCAGTTTTCTGTTTTTTTCTTTTTTTGAGCAGTTTTAGGCATACGCAAAAATTGATTGCAAAGTACAGCTTCCACATACCACCTCAACCCCTTTTCCTCTTGTAGTTTTGGTGAATTGGTAATTGGCTCAAGACGCCTGAACTAATGCAGGCTTGATTATTTTGGTGCGAGTACTTTGTAGATGGTGGTGGTCTTCACAGTGCTTCCATCAGCACGCAGGTAGTGCCCTTTTGTGATGACAGCAGCGTTGGTGATGGCTGCCCAGATCTATTATGTCACCGGAGGTAGCCATGAGGCTTCCTATTCTGTTTTCATTTACTGAGAATGGCCTTTAGAAAGACTCTGAACATGGTGCCTGTCCTCCAGGACCCCACGGTCCAGAGTTTATAAAGTAGATTTCAACAACAACAGCAAAAAAATCAGTTTTATTTTGTATATAGTCTCTGACTGCCCCTCCTGCCAAGTGATACAATCCCCGAATGGTAGTGTATTTAATGCATGCAAATTCAACATATTTGGTTGCAAACTGCTAAAGTAACAATGTAAACATGCAGCCAGTTTCTTCCGCTCTTTCTCCTTAATTGCCGTTGCTCCTGGGTGAGATGGAGGTGTGGGTCCATGCTCCTGCTCACTCTGCTTCTGCACGCCCTGCACATTATGCACTTCTCTCTGAGTGTGATTCTAGTGTTTCCATGTACGTACTTCTTACGCAGTATGGACCTAAACACAAGCTGATGACTTCCTGTGGTGCTGATCTAAGAAACAGCATTCTGTTCCCAAATCAGCGGAAGATCGTGCAGCTTAAGTGATCTTCAGAGAGCATGTGATTTTGAGTATACGTGCCCTTGAACCTTAGTTAACTTTAGAAATTTAATCATTTGCCGGTTGTAACATCAGTGTCCCTAAGAGTTTGACTTCAGTAAAGGACAAGGTGCAGAAGCTGCAGGCATTGCTTATTTTGGTGTAAAGCCTCTCCTTGCTGTGAAGTCCAGGTTTAATGATCTCTCCCTCTCTTCCCCTCCCTCCCTCCTTCCCCTTTCCCTCTCCCCTTCCTCCTTCCCTTGTTTCCTCTTTTGCAGTCTGCTGTTTTGTCGTGCACAAGCGGTGCCATGAATTTGTCACTTTCTCCTGCCCAGGCGCTGACAAGGGCCCAGCCTCCGATGTAAGTAACGGGCACTGGCCGCCTCTCTCTCTCCATAGCCAGTGCATCCTTTTGGGTAACTGTGAGCACACTGAGACAAAACAGTCAGGATGTTCTCATTCCAAGGCATGTTGTGGTCCCTACAGCCTCCGAGACAATATTCATTTTAATGGAAAAAATAAAGCAAAACATTTTGAGCGGGATAGATGACTGCAAGAAACCAGCTAGTTTTCCTCCTATGATTTTGCAGAATGTCTTCGTCTTTATGACGGAGGCATGAGAGTCACGGGCAGGGGTTGGATTGCTACGGATGCTGTAAAAAAGTAGTTAAGATGGTACCTTACAATGTGCTTTATAGCCCTTTGGGATGGGATTTTTGTTACTAGGGCTCAAGAATTACAAGGAAATGAGTTTATCCTGCTACTGTGGAGCCCACGGTGTGATTACTGCTGAAGCGACAAGGGATGCTTCTGGGTAAAACAGGCAAATGATTTTTGTTTGATCATTATGAAGTTATTTTAATATGGATTGGAAAAATGTATCTAGTAGTTGTTTTGCATTTATGGTAGGGATATAAAATTTCCTACCTAAGTGAAGTTATTTAGGTTAAACCAAAGATAAAATGACTCAAAGAAAACATTAAGTGAATGTCAGTGTGAGTGCTGTAAGCTTATGGCAGAAGTCTTGGTACAAGTTTACCCCAAATTTGGGGTAGTTGCCCACCCCAACAGCCATTCCTAGCCCTCCCTCTTTTCTTTCTGGCAGAGAACACCTCTCATGCCAAGAGCTGAAGATGCCTCATACTTGCTTTCCCAAGCTCTCTTGTAGCTAGTGAGTGAGCATGGGACCCAATTCTGCTCAGTGGGACCTGCGGGGAAGTCTGGGCAGGCCTCCCAAGAAAGACTTCCCGTTCTAATAAGAGAAGACATTCCTTTCTTGGTTCTGTTGGACACTTTTGTATGAGGATATAATACACGGAGTTGTGGCAACCCTTTTGGGTCAATGAGGGAGATATGAATGACATCCTGAGCTTGGAAGTGTTGAAAGGACCTGGGTCATTGATGACACTGGTGAGCTGCTGAATCAATTCTGAGTTCTCTTAGGCTCAGACTGCATATGTGAGACCTGAAGCTTCTCTCAGCGGTGTGGTCTCACTGTTTGGGGTCTTCTTTCCACGCAGCTGAAACTGTCCTGGATGGACCTTCTACCATGCACGCTCTTCCATTGACCCATTCACGAAACTGCATTCCACGTACCTGCTGTGCAGCCCTCCACCCACTCTAGTTCTCTTCTTTTGTTCCTGGTTTAGTTTACCTTCCTGGAATTTTCCCCATTGGTTTGGTTTCCCACTGGTCCTGTCTGGCTCACCTCAGCCTGCTGGAAGTGGCTGGTGACTTCATTTTGTCACTGCATGTCTTTGACTCTTACTAGCCTTCTGCAAGTGGTCACATGCCATTTTGCTGCAGATCAAGGACGTTATCTACTGCCTTGACACCGTGGATGCTCTAGAGTTTACACTGCACTTACTTTGCTTGGAAGCTGTGGTAGTTGGGTTTAAGAACTCCAAGAAACATGGAACAACCAAAGCCCTCACAGGTGTGTTTGCAGGGATGAAGATGGGACCCTTCCCCGTGTTCTGTCAGGTCACACTCCCTGACCCCTTTAGCGCAGTTCCTTCTCTCATCCCCAGGAAAGCAGGCAGGGAAGTTTGGGAGGACAGTCTGGTCCATGATGCAGCTCTGAGTGTTCCTGCAGACCAAGGCTTGATACAGAGCAACCGAGAAGACGGTGTTTCTCATATCCCGCCTGTATTTGTTGACTTTTATGTTGCCTAAGATAGACATTCGTCTCAAACTGTTTTATGTGAAAAGGGAAATTTTGGTCCCTGAAATGGAAAAGCCCAAGGGTAGGCTGGCTTCAGACACAGTGAATCACGGTGCTGAAATGAGGTCCTCAGGAATCTTTTTCTCCATGTCTTAGCACAACCTTCCTTTGTCTTGGCTTCTGTTTCAAGGAGGTTTTTTCTCCTATGGGAGCATGAAGTCTGCAGTTAGTCTCATGTCTTTTCAGCGCTACAATTCCAGTGAGCTAAAGTCTCATTGGACCCTGGGTCATACATAAGCAGAAAGATGGGTATGGTCATTGTCAGGCCTGATGATGTGTCTGTGTGCCCACCCCATGATTTGAGAATGGAGGTCCCTAAGAGGAAAGCCAGAGAAGCAGTATGGCATACTGGTTAAAATCATAGACAGTGGATGGAGCCAGCATTGCTAGGCTCAAATACTTGTGACCACGGGCAAAGTATTTAAATCTCTTTGTGCTTTGGATTCCTCCATTGAAAATGGATAAAATAATACCGTATACCTACCTTATAACCTTGCCACTATTATCCAATGTATACACATCCGTAAAAGCCCACTTAGGACAGTGGTCCGTAGCAAGAGCTGTATAGGCGGAGATGATGACGACAGTGATAATGAGTAACGGTGAATGCATGCTGGGCAGACAGCGAGGACAGCTGTCTACCAGGTAAGTCTGAAGAATGAATAGGCCCTCTGCCTGCCACCTGGCAGTCCTTCCCAGGAGTGTGGAGGCGCCATAAGTCGTATGAGACCCTGCTCCATATGAATGGAGCAGTGCCGCCATTCATTGCCTTGGGCAGTACTCCCTGCAGCCAGCAGGTGTAGAATTTGGCAGCTTACCTGAAATAATTCTATCTCTGGTCCCAGTTCCAAGAAGACCAGTTGGCACTGAAGATGATGAATTAGTCCAGACTCCTGAACTGGCTTGACTCGGTACATTTCAGTCCATGGTGGGGGACGTGATTAAAGATCCAGCTACACCTGCTCGCCAACCTGGCCAGGCTTTCTGAGGCTCACGCAGGGAGGGAGGGGCACCCTCCTCCTGGGTGACCTTGGAGGCACTGGGGAGCCACAAGGTCATGGAGCAGAAAAGTGCAATATCCATCCATGAGAGAGGAATGTGCTAGCTTTTGTCCTCTACCCTCTGCTTTGCAAGACCAGTCTGAGCCAGGGAATGTTCTGGATATCAGTAGAATTTTGTGGAGTTGGCGTTTCTTTAGGCCTACATCATGGCATCCGAGGGAATTTTATGAATCAGGCTCTGCCCCAGTGAACCCACTACTGACCCAACCATTCATTGCCAATGGGAATAAACAATATATATGGGTACCCACCACTGGGAGACCTCAAGACATGTCAGAGTTCCTGGGTGGTACCTCTGCTCATCTCCAGGCAGCCTGTTGGTTCTTGGTCTCATCTGGGCAGTGGGACCCAAATCTCTGGTACTACCATAGGCATTACATATGGACATTATAGTCACAGAGCACTTAGACTACTGACCACATGCACAGTGTCCTGAGAGATCTTCTCAGAACAGAAAGAGGAGGACTTGACTCCGAGGGCTGAGATTAGGATGAGTCAAGTACGTGCTCTGGGCACAAACATTAAGGGGTTCTCGCCTGTGTCTATGGATATCTGGTGGCTGGATGATCTAGGATGGCCCATTCACATGACTGGCAGTGAGCTGGTTTTTGGCCTGGGTGACTTGATTCTCCCCCACATGGCCACTCATCATCCAGCTGGCCAGCCCTGGCTCGTTCACATGGTGGTTTCAGGGTTCGAAGAAGGGCAGGAGAGCAAACCCCAATGCATCAGTGATTTTTCAGTCTGTGCATCGCATTTGATAATGTGCCACTGGGCCAAGGAGTCTCACGGCCAAGCCCAAATTCAAGTGGTAAAGAAACAGATTTCACTCTTCATGGGAGGAGAAGAATCGCTGGTCAAGCTACTACAGATCCTGTTGACCCAAGGGGCCACTGTGGAACAAAGCCACCGGAGACCATCACACTGGACTTCGTGAAAGGCCCGCAGGTCTCAGTGTGGGTCAGAGAGTCATAGATGGCCTCGTTAGGGGAGCACGTCCCACGTCGTCCATGTGTTCCCTGTCCCAGGCCCCTTCCAGCTAAAAATGGGAAGTTGGGCAATTTATGGATTACGCCCAAAGTCAGTGGTCCACAGACGTGTGGCCTCTGAAGTCAGTCGTACCTGAGTTCAGGTCCTGACTCTGCCTCTTACTCAGGAAGTGACCTTAGGTGTGGCATTTCCCTGCTTTGTGACTTGGTTTCCGTATCCATAAACTGGGACGTTGGTACCAACTGCATAGGTTTGTTGTAATGATTTTTTTTAATGTACTGCATTTCTTATTTATTTATTTTTTTAGGGGAAGGTAATTAGATTTATTTGCTTATTTATTTTTGGAGGAGGTACTGGGGATTGAACCCAGGACATTGTGTATGCTAAGCATGTGCTCTACCACTTGAGCTATACCCTCTCTCTTGTAATAATTTTTTAAAAAATCCTTAAAAATGAAAAACTGGAACAAGAACAAAAGGATTAACAGTAAATGGACGAAGGAGCCCTTGCACAAAGTTGCTCAGCGTGGCACCATCACGTTGTAAGCCCTTGTGCAGGTGGCTGAGGGTGTTTCGACTGCTCCGCCTATCTCCCTAACTGTGAACGTGCTGATAATTCTCTCCATTTCTCCACCCAGACCATATCCTTCTGAAGTAATTACTGTTTGCATTACCAGTACTTTACACAAAACCTCAAATTCCGGGGTGCAGTGCTGAGAAAAGAACCTAGACTTGGGAGCCAGAAAACCTTGGTGTCAGATTCCAGCGCTGACGTTGACTGCTCCATTGATCTTGGGAAGATAATTTTAGTTCTGTGACCCTTAGTTTGTATCTTTAACTTGGGGAAAATAATACGTAAATCATAGTTTTTTCAGTGAGTATTCCCTGAGAGACTGCCTGAATCACCTCCAGAAGAGTGTCTGGCACAAAGAAGGCACTCAGTAAATGGCTTCTAAATTATTATTAATCCCTGGAGGAGGCTTTCCTACTCAAGGAAAGATGGAGGTTACACTCTGACCTGCCAAGGAATAACGTTATTGTAACAGCGAACTTTATTGAGCAGAGGCGCTGTGCCAGGCAAAACAAA